TGCGTGAGGGTGTGGGGGTGTGTGAGGGGGTGGGGGTGTGCGCACGGGGGCCCCTTGCCCGATGGCGACGGCGACGCCTGGGTACCTGGCAGGGGCGGGGGAAGTTCAGTGGGGCTGAGCAGGATACGGGGATCAGGCCGCGCCAGCTGCCCTTGATTGGAAAATCCTCTGGATTAAAAGGGCAGCAAGTCCTGCTTGGGGGGGGGGGGCGCAGCAGTGGAGCCACGTGGGGGAGACACTGGCTCAGCGCATTTCTGCTCGACAGAGCTAGGATGGGGCGGGGGGATGAGTGAGGCCCAGGGCTGGGCTAGCAGGGGCTGCGGGTCGGGAGTGAGGGGCACCGATGATTCCTGTCCGCTCCTTTGTTTCGTTGCATTGTCCCGTTGCTGCTCATTGGCAAAGGCCGGGCAGGGACCAGCCCCTGCGGATGGTGCCTGTCCGTGAGATCCAGCCGAGGCTGCTGTGTCCTTGGGCTCCCCCACCCCCTTCACCTCCTGGGCCTTGATGGGCCTCGCAAAGCGCCCCCAGCAGGATCCCCCCCCCCGCCTGATGGGCTGAGGGGTCTGGTTTGCTGAGACCCGGCTACTCCCCCGATCCCTTATCTCCTAGGAGCAGCCCTCGGAGGCTTCCCTTTGAAGAAACCCCAGGCAGGATCTGCTCATCCCAGCCCCAGGCCTCCTCCAGCTGTTCTCTGCCCCCCGGGAAGCACCCGCTGGGGGGGCTGGGCAGGGGCAGGCTGGGGGAGCTCCCTGCTCAGTGGGGGCAGGGGTTGGCATGAGGCTGGGGGAGCTGGGTGGGGGGCAGGGCAGGGGTTGGCATGAGGCTGGCTGCCCATGGATGCCGGGGGCTCCCCAGCTGGTCCGGGAGGTTTCAGGGCCACGGGGCTATTTTGTCTCTCCAAGGCCTGAGCCGGTGAATCACCTTGAGACAGAGCCGTGTGGGGGAGGGGAGCTGGAGCCGGGATCCCCCCCCTCCCCCCAGCTGCTCAGCGTGGGCGGCTAATCGTCTATGGGATGGTCGGTTCCTTCACCTCCAGTTCCCGCTTGCTGGAATCTGGATTGTGGTGCCCGTTTGGGCATTCATTCTGGGCTGCGGGTTGGGAGTGACGGGCACCGGCAGAGCTGGGGGGAGCCCAGGCTGGGCTAGCAGGGGCTGCGGGTCGGGAGTGAGGGGCATCGGCGGGACTGGGGGGAGCCCAGGCTGGGATAGCAGGGGCTGCAGCTCAGAGGAGAAGCAGATGCCGGGGCACAGGGTCCGTGTGTGGTGTCATGGGGAGCACACGCCGCCCATGGGGAACCGGGAAGGGCCCTCGGGAAGGCGCCTCCTGCCCCCAGCTCCCAGCAGGAAGAGCTCAGCAGCTGGCTGGTGGCGGGAGGAAGGGGGCGGGGGTCCCTGTGTGGCGGCCGCAGGCCATGGGAGGATGTGCCCTATATTTAGCTCGAAAGGGCCACGCTGGCTCCAGCCTTATCAGGCCCCTGCACCTTGCCGGGACGGAAGGAGGGACAGAGGCTTTGAGGCGGCCGCTGTCGAGCCCCTGTCTGGGGGCTGGCTGGGGGGGGTCATTGCCGGGGGGGGGTTGGGCCTGTGTGGGGGCTGGCGGGGGGGGGTCACTGCCGGGGGGGTTGGGCCTGTCTGGCCACCTCACAGGAGATGGACCCGCTGCTCCGAACAGGTTTTTCCCTCTGGAGCAAAACCAACCGTGGCAGTAACGCAGGAAAGAACCAGCCCCCCATGAGGGCTGCGCTGTCCCCTGTGCGGCTGGGCAGGCTCCCTGAGGGGCGTCGAGGGGCCTGAGTTTGCCCCCAGCCGGTTCGCTGCTGGGAACACAGGGTTTGCGTGGCCCTGAGGTACAGGGAGAAGGAGGGACGTGCCCAGGGTCACCCAGCAGGGCTGGGCCGGAGCTGGGCCTTCCCCCCAGCTCCCTGGCTTGAGCCCGAACATCTGTGCTCTGCTTTGAAGGAGCCTGCCCGGTGCTGGGCTCCGGCCCTGGGCAGTCGGTGCCGGGGCTGGGCTGGCAGAGGGGCCTGGCTGCGTGACGTCTCCATGTCAGCAGGGGCAGGAGCCCGCGCCTGGGTCCCGTGAGCAGACAGCGCTCGCCCCAGTCCCTGTGCGGGGCGTCGCCCCTTGCCCCTCCGGCCTGCCTCTGCGCAGCCCGGCCCGTGGCCCGGCCTGTCGGTCTCTGCGCCGGGCCTGACCGCTGTGTTCTCCCCCCACAGGACGGCTCTCGCCAGAGGCCAGTTCAGAAGAAGAAGACCGTGTCCTTCAGCACCATGCCCCACGACCGGAAGATCAACAGCACGGCGGCCTGCATCTCCTTCATGCTGCAGGGCTGCGAGATGAAGAAAGTTCGCTCCAACTCCCGCATGTACAGCCGCTTCTTCCTGCTGGCCCCGGACATGCGCTGCCTGCGGTGGGAGCCCTCCAAGAAGGACTCGGAGAAGGCCAAGATCGAGATCGAGCTGGTCAAGGAGGTGCGGGTGGGGAAGAAAACGCCCGTGCTGCGCAGCAACGGCCTCTCCGACCAGTTCCCGGACGAGTGCGCCTTCTCCATCATCCACGGCGACAACTACGAATCCCTGGACCTGGTGGCCAGCTCGGCCGACGTGGTGAACGCCTGGGTGATGGGGCTGAGGTACCTGGTGTCCTACGGGAAGCACACGCCGGAGGCGCCCGAGGCCGGCCATCCCAGCCTCCGGACCTCCTGGATCTCCTCGGTCTTTGAGGTGGCGGACCTGGGGAAAGTGGGCCGGATCCCCGTGGCCCAGGCCGTGCAGCTCATCAAGGCTCTGAACCCGGGCATGAAGGCCTCCACCGTCGAGCTGAAGTTCAAGGAGCTACAGAAGGCCGGCGAGCGGCCAGGGAGCGACGTGGCCTGCGACCTGTTTGTGGAGGCCTATTGCGACCTCTGTACCAGGCCCGAGATCTTTTTCCTTCTGGTCCAGTTCTCCAGCGACAAGGAGTCACTGGGGCTGAAGGACCTACTGACGTTCCTGGAGGTGGAGCAGGGCATGGAGGGGGTGACCGAGGAGACGTGCCTGGAGATCGTTGGCAAATACGAGCCCTCCAGCGAGGGCCGGGAGAAGGGCTACCTGGCCATCGACGGCTTCACCCGCTACCTGCTCTCCCCCGACTGCTCCATCTTCGACCCGCAGCACCGCCGGGTGTGCCAGGACATGACGCAGCCCCTGTCCCACTACTACATCAGCTCGGCCCACAGCGCCTGCCTGCGGGAGGACAGCTCCTGGGGCAGCGCGGGCCTGGGCGGCTACGTCACGGCCCTGCGCATGGGCTGCCGCAGCCTGGAGCTGGTGGTGTGGGACGGCCCGGACGGCGAGCCCCTGGTCTCCGGGGGCCGCTCGGCCGCCTCCCGCGTGGCCTGTCGCAGCGTGGTGGGTGTGATCGACCGGTACGCCTTCGAGGCCTCCGAATACCCCCTCATCCTGTGCCTGGCCGTGCGCTGCTCGCCCGCCCAGCAGCGGCTGATGGCGCAGTGCCTGAGGAAAACCCTGGGCGCCAAGCTGTACCTGGACCCCCCGGCCCCCGAGGAGGCCTACCTGCCCTCCCCGGAGACACTCAAGGGCAGGGTCCTCATCAAGGGCAGGAAGCTGCCGCCCAGCTGCCACGAGAGCGAGGGGGAGGTGACGGACGAGGAGGAGGGCCCGGGCGAGGCCGACGGGCGGCGCAGGCTGCGGCTGAGCAGGGAGCTGTCGGAGCTCGTGAGCCTGTGCCAGGCGGTGCCCTTCCGGGACTTTGAGGCCTCGCGGCGCGGGCAGCGCTACTGGGAGCTCTGCTCCTTCAGCGAGGTGGAGGCCGGGCGCTTCGCCAGCGAGTGCCCCGCCGAGCTGGTGAGCTACAACAAGCGGTTCCTGTCGCGGGTCTACCCCAGCCCCCTGCGCATTGACGCCAGCAACATGAACCCGCAGGACTTCTGGAAGTGCGGCTGCCAGATGGTGGCCATGAACTTCCAGACACCGGGGCTCATGATGGACCTGAACGCGGGCTGGTTCCACCAGAACGGGGCCTGCGGGTACGTGCTGCGCCCCGCCGTCATGCGGGAGGAGGTCTCCTACTTCAGCGCCAACGCCAAGGACTCGCTGCCCGGCGTGCCGGCCCAGCTGCTGCACCTCCGGGTGATCAGCGGGCAGAACCTGCCCAAGCCCCGGGGCTCGGGCGCCAAGGGCGACGTGGTGGAGCCCTACGTCTGCGCCGAGATCCACGGCATCCCGGCCGACTGCGCCGAGCGGCGCACCAAGACAGCGCTGCAGAGCGGGGACAACCCGGTCTTCGAGGAGAGCCTGGAGTTCCAGGTGAACCTGCCCGAGCTGGCCCTGCTGCGCCTGGTTGTGCTGGACGACGACTACATCGGCGACGAGTTCATCGCCCAGTACACCATCCCCTTCGAGTGCCTGCAGAGCGGCTACCGTCACGTGCCCCTGCAGTCCCTGGCCGGAGACCTGCTGCCCCACGCCACCCTCTTCCTCCACGTGGCCATCGCCGACCGGCCCGGCGGGGGTAAGGGGCAGCGGCGGGGGCGCGCCGGGCGCCGGGGCCGGCGGCTGCGGGAATACACCTCCGCCAAGACCACCGGCATCAAGGCCATCGACGAGGTGTTCCGCACGGCCGGCCAGCCGCTGCGCGAGGCCACCGACCTGCGGGAGAACATGCAGGTACCACGCCGGGCTGGGGGCAGGACGCCTGGGTTCTCTCCCTCTCGGGGAGGGGAGTGGGGTCTAGTGGGTTGGAGTGTCTGGGGCAGGGGTGGGGGGCAGGACGCCTGGGTTCTATTCAGGAGGCCCCCAGCCTGTGTTTGTGTCAGCGCCCCAGGCCAGGCTGCGCAGGCTCTTAGCGGGGGCTGTGGCCCTGCCCCCCCATGCAGCGCGCAGTGGGGTGCCCGGCTCACCTGTTTCTCCGTCTCCAGAACGCCCTGGTCTCCTTCAAGGAGCTGTGCGGCCTGGCGCCGGCGGCCACCATGAAGCAGTGCATCCTGACGGTGGCCGCGTGGCTGCTGCGCAGCGAGAGCGCCCCCAGCGTGACACTGAACCTGGGCCAGCAGTACCCCCCCATGGAGGCCCAGGGGCCCGTCCCGGAGCTGCTCCGCAAAGTGCTCACTGCCTACGAGACCGTAAGCACCCGCCCTCCCCTCGCCGGGCAGCCGGCCCCCTCCCCGGCCGAGCCGGCTCCTTGCTCGCGCATCGTCCCCTGGCCTGGTCCGGGCAGCCGCACACGCGGGAAGTGCCAGCCCCTCCCTGGGCCGGGAGAGCAAGTTCCCAGCATGGCCTGGTCCTGCCACCTGCCGCGCTGGCAGCCGAGCCCCTGCGGCCCCTCGGGGTCCCGTAGCCAGCGCAGCCCCTGGTGCCATCCCAGCGGGTGGCCGGAGTCCCGCTAATAGCCGGAGCCGCTTCCTTCCTTCGTGCTCCCCGGAGCTGGCACCTGGCCCGACCATCGCTGGGAGCGGGGAGGCCTGGCCGGGGGAGCATCTCCTCCCTTCCCCCCGCCCCCCAAATCTGGAGCTGCCTCTTTCAAGGCTGGAGCTGGGCGGAGCCTGCGTGGGCCCGTGCGGGAAGGGATCCCCGGGGTGCTGGGCTGCCCCTCGTCCTGCTCCCTCACTCCCCCCGTCTCTGCTCCCACAGACGATCCAGAGCAGCCGGACCCTGATCGAATCGGCCGACGCTGTGCACAGCAGGCTGATGCAAGCCCAGCAGGCGGGTATGTGCCGCGGGGGGCAGGCGCCGCTGGGCCCGGCTGCAGAGCGGGCTGGGTTTGGGGGCCCCGACTCTGCTCCCCCCAGGATACTGGGGGGCTATGGGCACCGGGGGCTACAGGGGGCGGCCTTTGTGCTGGCACCAGTGACACCTGCTGGCAGGACGAGGCGCGGTGCTAATGGGGCCTCTGGGCGCCCTCTTGGCTGGAGGTTACCTGGCCTGTCCCCCCCACCCCGGGGCTGGATGGGAGCCGGCGCCCCTGGAGGGGAAAGACCCTGGGCCCAGCCAGCCAGCTGGGGCAGTGACCTCTCCAC